CTCCTCTCCTCTCCTCTCCTCTCCTCTCCTCTCCATCCCGTGATCCCAGCTCTTAATGGAGACATTGAACGGTTGTGACACCAGGATCGGCCCAAGGGACTCAGCAGGGAGGCAGCCACAATTTGGGCTGTGTAAGAAGGACTGCAATCCTTTGAATTTAGTCTTCCAGCCAATTTTATACCCAAATTATCACCTTAATCCAGCCTGTGTCTCACCAGTTTGCTGCAAGGTGACCTTGGAGATTTTGTTGCTCCAGAGAAGGAAGGAAAATCTCAGACTTCTGCTCTCAAATGCTGCTGTTTCTCCTGTGGCTTGATCTGGGAAGTTCCATTCTGGATGGATCCAGAGTAATTTCTCAGCTGTTTCCTGGCTCTGGAGCTGTTTGGAGCCTCAGGACCACATGAGATGCATTCTCCAGGGAAGTGTTTGTGTCCTGGCTGCTGCAGAAGCCAAGCAGGGCTTCAAAGCCAGCAGGAAGCTTGTTTGGACTGAGTTCACCACCTTTACCTTGTCCTTCCTAAAGGAGTACTCAGGAAGGGTTTGAGGAGAGCAGAGCTTCCTCAGGGGAACTGATCCAGCATGGAAAAGCCTTCCAAAGCTGGTGCCTTCTTTCCAAAATTGCTCTTCCCAAGAAAGAAGTGGCCTGAAGAAAACAGAAGCTTCTCAGCGTGAAAGTTTGTAACAGAAACTCTTCCCACTTGGTGTTTTTCAGCATTGAATTTGTTTCTTCATTAAAATACAGCTTTATTCAGAAACCAAACTGATTTCTGCAGCTTCACTTGCTTTTTCTGCAGCTCTCTGCTCAGCCCAAAATGAATAAACTCTGCTGATGGAAACCAGCTGGGATCTTAAACACGAGCTGGGCTTGCTGCTTCTTGGAGCTTTAGTCCAGGCTCTCATCTCTTGGGATAGCACAAGGAACAAAATGACAAATATTCCTTAGGAACCAGAAATCCTGGAAAGGATGTGCTTCCACTCAATGGAGCTCCCACCAGATTTTCCTCCTAAACCACCCCTCTGGTTGTGAGAAATGGAATCTGAATAACAGAATAACAGGCCTGTTGCTCCCCCCACCCTTCCACACCCCCTCCCCAGGGCTTGAAAACTTCAGCTGGGCTTAACTGAAGGTGTTCTGAGTTTATTTTCCCAGCAAACTGAAGAACGTGCCCAGCTTTGTGCTGGGAGCAGCTCCACTCTGAGTAGCCACAGACAGTGACTGGACCCTTGGATTTCGAAATCCCCCATTTGGGGTTTGAATCCCGAATTTCCAACAGAATGGGCATTTTTGTTCCCCTGCCTTCGAGCTGCTCAACCTAAATTTGGTGCCAAGGCTCCCCCTGCAGTCACTGGAGAAACACAGGGAACAAACCTGGCCATAAAATATTGCTTTGAGGAAGGAATGACCCCTTGGAAGGAGCTGAGTCTCTCCCCAGAGGCCACAGAGCAGCCCAGCCCCTCCAGGAAGATTGAAGGGTAATTTCTAGGGACTCTGATCCCTTCCCTGCGTGGAAATGGAGCTAAACGGGAAGGAAATTAAGAATCTTTGGGTTTGTTCCCACACTGAGCTGCCACATTTCCCTATTCCCTCCTCTTCCTTGAATTCGATATCCCAGCCCGTTCCTCTCCCATCCATTGTCTGCCCTGTATTTCCAGAGGACACTTTTGCAGCTCATCTCCTGAGAAAATCCGTGGCACAGAGTCAAGGTAATTTCTCAGCCCTCCCTCATTTGCACATGTCCATCAGTCTTGCTGACAGAAAGGATTCAGGGAGCAGGGATGTGTTTGCCTCCTCTGGGGATTTCAGGGCAGCCATCCCAGCTGGGGCCAGCAAAAACAGGGCAGGAATGCAGGAAAGAAGAGAGGAAAAGGAAAAATAAAAGGAAAATAAGGTGAAGGAAAAGGGGCATTGCAAGGCAAAGACAGAGGAAGGAGGAAAGGGTGAAAGAAAGGGAGAGAGGGAAAGGGAAAGGGAGAGGGAAAGGGAAAGGGAAAGGGAAAGGGAAAGGGAAATGGAAAGGGAAAGGGAAAGGGAAAGGGAAAGGGAAAGGGAAAGGGAAAGGGAAAGGGAAAGGGATCCACAAAGGCTTTTTCTGTAGCTTCCAGTGATTCCCTGCACAAACAAGGAAATATTCCCAAGGAAAGTGCTTCCTTTGAAGAGCACACCTTTCCTCCTGTGCCGAGGACCATTCCAAGCAGGGTTTCCATCCTGAGATCCAACAGAAATCTCCTCACACATCAGAGCTGTGCCCAGGCCTGGCTCCTGCCCCTCTATCCCAGTTCTCTCAGCTCATTTCCTCTCTGCTCTGCTGCCTTTCTTCCCTTAACTCCTGTCTGCACTCCTGTCCTGCAGCACTCCCACATCCACATCCCTCTCCTGCAGCTTCCAGGACATTTGGAGAGTCCCCACAACCTCAGGAGGACCCTGCCACACTTCCAGTGACCTCCACTGCTTTTCTTCCTTACCCACAGATATTTTCCCTTCCCAAGTGAGAAAGAAGTGCTCCTGAGTGTTGTGCAGAGGCTGCAGGTCAGTGTGATGAGAGGAAAAACACTCCCAACAAAACCCATCCAGGGAAAACCAGGCTTCCATGAGCCACTCAACAGCATTTTGGTAACACTTACCTGGAAAAGATCCCTCTGCAAGACATTTTCAGTCCTTGAAAGAAGGCCTTGAAGATGTTTCAGCAGAGAGTTGAACAGATTTGCCCCTGAATCCACATTGTTCTAAATAATTTTTGGCAAAATGCTCCTTTCCAGCTGAACATCTGCTTTCAAGTGAAGAGCAAGACACTTTTCAATGTTCCCTCGTGATAAAAAAATTAAAGCATTCCTTAACTGAATCTTCATTTTTCTTCCAAATTTCCATGTGAACACCTAAACAAAAGGCCAGAGACCTGCCCTGTGTTGCTGCCCACCCTTTGGGCCTTTTTTTCCCTCCCTGTTTTGTGTTATCAGCAATGTGATTGTCAGGTTTAAGGCACCTCGTTGTGTGCTCGTGAGTTTGGCCGGTTTAATATTCATCTTCTGACAACACTCAGGGTTCAGCTGCTCTCCTAATTAGTGCCTGGCTGCAGTGGAGAGAATTCTTGTGGAGGAACACTGCCCTTCCACCCCTGGGATCTCATTTTTCTTTGCTCTCGCTGGCAGGAAATTTGTAACAGAGGGATGCTTAATCCTGCTGGCCCTGCCAATCTCGGCTGCATCTCCCTGCAAACAAAACAGGAGGGCTGGTGCTGCTCTGCTTGCCGAGGCTGCTCAGAGAGAGCTTTATCTTTAGCAGCAATATTTCTGCTGAGGATGACGTGGTAAAACTCTGAAACAGCTCAATTTGAGAGGGGTTTTAGCCCTCCTGAGGTCAGGGTGTGCTGGAGCATCCCTGTGGCAGAGCTGCTGAAATCGGGGTCTCTCCAGCGTAGGATTTTGGCTGTAGAGGGCTGCTCACACTCTGCTGATGCTCTCGTTTACTCTTCATTACTTTGTTAGGCAAATCTCCTTTCAAGTGTTCTCATTCTCATCAGCCACTGAACACCACAGATGTAACCCGGGAGGTTCTGGAAGCAGAGCCACAGAAAGCCCCGGTTCCTGTCAGCCGTGTGTTCCGGCAAAAGGAGCTCCGCGTGTCCCGGAGGAGAGTTAAACATCTGAGAGAGCATCTGAAAATTCATCAGCCGAGTTTCTGCAGCAGCTCCCGCTCGCACAGAATGAAAATGCAGAGCCCCACGCCGGTGGACAAGTAAAGATCTCCACCTAGTGAACGGCAGGGCCAGGACAGCTTCCCGGGAAAACGGGAAAGGGAGGGGAAACCCGATCCGACCGAGGAAAGGCTCACCCCGGAGCTGCGGGGATGTGTGCTGTGCCAGCTCCGTGCGGGGATGCGGGATGCTCCTCCTGGCACCCCCGGGCACCTCTGGGCACCCCTGGACACCCCCGGGCACCCCTGGACACCCCCGGACACCCCCGGGCACCCCTGAGCACCTCCGGGCACCCCCGGGCACCCCTGAGCACCCCCGGGCACCCAAGGCTGTGCCCGAGGCTCTGCCCAACCCGCCGGGACCCGGACGCTTAAACCGAGCATTAAACCCCGCTCTGTGCGCCCCGACCCCTCCCCGAAGTGCCTTAATTACAGCCCAGCAAATGACACGGCACGCTAATGATGCTGGGGACCTTTGCAGGGATGACATTTTTCCTGTTGATGGCATTACCTATTCTGCAGCGAGCAGAAGATAATTGTAATTTCCTGGACTGCTCCGAAACACATAAAGTTTATGGGTAATCTTATTAAAGCTTTCATATAGTGGGAAACTTTCTGTTATGAGCTGGGAGAAAATTAATGGCCTTTCTTTTGTGGTTGGCACAGAATTAAATCCCGGGGGGGGGTCTGTTTCATCTCAAACACGTGATTTGCACTTTATTAAAAGCGTCCCCTCTGCCTTGCAGCCACTCAGAGGCTCAGGGCTGTTCCTCCCTCCATCCTGCCAAGGGTGTGAGCAGCCCCCAGCCCTGCCCTGCTCTTTGTGCCCAACATGTTCCTACAATAAATTGATCGCCTTGGGGTCACTGGGCTGTGGGCAAATGAAAACCAAAAAGCTGAAATCCAAAAAGCTGAAATGCAAAAAAATGTTCCTCACAAATGGCCATGGCCGCTTTGGGGACATTTGAAGCTGGAGGCTGCACATCTTGACAGAGGTGCCTGCAGGTCACAGACTCCAAATCTCCAAATTCATGTTCAGCCCTGGGCTGGGGGAGGACCAGGCAGGCTGTTCCCAACATGGGCCAGACAGATCACAGGGCCATTAAAGTTGGACAAGACATCCAAGATAAAACCTGGAGTTCAACCTTCAGCCAAATCCCACCATTCCCACTCAACCATATTGTGAAGTGCTACATCCCCTCGGTTTTTGAACACTTCCAAGTGTTGGGAGCCTGTTCCAGTGAGGATTTACACCTTCAGTGTCATTCTTCAGTGAAGAAATTTCATAGAATTTCATAGAATTGGGTTGGAAAAGGCCTTAAATCCCATCCAGCCATGGCAGGGATACCTTCCATAGAGCAGGTTGCTCCAAGCCCTGTCCAACCTGGCCTTGAATTTTTCCTGATATCCAACCTGAACTGGATGAGTTCTATGGTCCCTTCCAACCCAAACCATTCCATGATTCTGTGACTGCACTCGGGTCCTGCTGAATCTTTAGGGGGTGGAGGAAAGGCAGCAGCAGCACCTGCAGGGGATTGAGACAACTCTGCCTCCCTCCTCAGCGTGGCTGAAGGCCTGGGGAGCAGAAGGACATTGTGGTACAGGAGAGATGTGGAGCAAATGGAGAGTTCAGGAGAGGAAGGCAGAAAAATCAGATCTGTTAGACATCAGCTGGATTTATTTCATGTAGGGCAGAAAAGAAA